TTAATGGGCATGATATATGTTGAGCAAAAAAGCAAATTTAAAAAATTAACACACCTGTGGAAAAATGCAAGTTTCTTCTCTTTGATTATTTTGACGAGAGCCTGATTCCACCACGAGTCCATCGTAACTGAAAATTTACATATTTGTGCCTTTAATCAACGTTTTTCAGAAATATCAACACAGAAATGAGTTCTTTAATGTGCATGAAAGGTGTTGAGCCCCCCCACTCAAAAAAAAAAAAAATTTTTTAAATTGATAAACATTCACAAACCTGCGGAAAAAAGCAAGTTTCTTCACTTTGATTATTTTGACAAGAGCCTGATTCCACCACACTGCCTCACATATAAGGAAAAAATCGCGACCTGGGCACCTTGTCGCTATACAGAGGATGTCGTTTTATCGAAAATCGTTATAGAGAAGTTGCACTGTATATTATATCCAGTTGTTTAGACTTCATCTTTTTTATCATGATACACACTGCCTAGGACGTTGCAAAGATTTCCCTGTGGGTGGTTGGCGGGTGCGGACGTTGCAAAGATTTCCCTGTGGGTGGTTGTCGGGTACTCTGGTGTATTTTGCTTCTTCTTTCCTATCAAACATCTATCGTCCTTATCTCCTCCTTTTTCAAAAAAATGTTTGTTACTCTCTTGTAACACCTCTAATCTTCTGGCGCTCATATGACCTTATGCAGTTGAGAGCGCCGTAAAACCTCTACTAAAAAAGATTTCCCTTTGTCAAGCTTTACCTGTCGAAGTGTTTCGCAGATCGAAGCGTGCATTTAGAAGAAGAGACCATGCACTGTCTAAATCATATGTGAGGCAGCGTGGTTGAATCAGGCTCTCGTCAAAATAATCAAAGTGAAGAAACTTGCATTTTTCCTACGGTTTTTGAATTTTTATCAAATTTTTGTTTTTTGGCTCAACACCTTTCATACCCTTTAAAGAACGCATTTTTTTGTGGAGATTTCTGAAAAACGTTGATTAAAGACACAAAAAATGTAAATTTTCAGTTACCACGAACTCTTAAGCTAAGGAAATAACTAATCTTTGGCGGCCATTTTCTCATTAATTTTACCTCTGAAAACAGGTGACCCACACCTCCTTCTTTCGCAAATATCTCAACTTGTATTCAAGATAAATGGATATTTTTTAAAATTTAAATAAAGACAAGTGAACAAGCTTTAAGATGATACCAACACCTCTACATGCCCAAAAATTGACGAGAACCTGATTCCACCACGCTGCCTCACATTTAGTAAAAAAAAAACAACAAAAACATCGTATGACGAAAGCGTGCGTTTGAGCAGAGGATGCTTTTGTTTGGCATGCATTTGGGAGGAGAATACTGTACAGACTAAGAAGTTTTCCACCTCGTACTCTTTGGATATGCTTCGAGTCTGATGTTGCACACATTATTCATTCATCTATCGTCAGACAACCTTTAACAATTGACATACCAATATCCTTTCCAAATAAAGTAATTTAATGAGAGTTCACTTAACCTCCCTAACAAATGTGAAAAGAAATAAATGGAAAAATACATTATTTTATTTATTTATATTTTTAGAAAAAAAACATGAAGAGTCGGAATACCATCATATTGAGCGACTTCGTGAGCTTGAAATCGGATGGGACGCCTGCAGAAGTTCAAGACTTAGTGGGAGGAGCAGAAGGCTATGGAATCAACCATTGCTTGGAGCCGTCAGCATCTACACAGTTCGAGATGTGCTTCTTCAGGGGACAGAGCGCTTATGGGGATGTCCCTTGTGCAGTGATGTCGGTCCTTCACACAAGTAAACAAGTAATAATTTTTACGAAGATTATTGGCCACATTCCTTTCACTGTTTTGAAAATATGATAGCATAGACGTAGGGTTACAAACACACTAACAATGTCATCACTTAGAAGCGGCCCCCATGTGATTTTTCGGCCTACTTTTATTAAATGCTAGGGATGAAGATGACGAATTATTTCCAAATTTTTGGTCACTCTAGGCGAGGAGTTGGGAATGAGGGTTGTGTCCTGCCCCACAGCACAGCCTGGTGGATCTAGAGTAAGCGCCAAACAAACTTCATCATCATCATCATCATCATCATCATCATCATCATCATCATCATCATTTTCTGGTAAGCAGGGTAGGAGGGAGAGTCTGTGTCATTTCCAAAAAATCATCATCATCATCATCATCATCACTGACTAAACAATTCCACTTTTGCTTGTTCTGTTTTTCTTGAAACAATAATTTGCACTATTTCAACACATTTTTACGTAATCTGCAAATATCGGCACAAAAATCAGGACACGAGGGGAAAAAAAATTAAATACAAATATACATAAAAAGAATACCAAATTCATAAAATTTTAACCAATGGAGAACAATTTCACAAACATGCCTTTGCTGGTCGTCACTATATGGCACCTGGATTTTTTCAGCTTGGGTTGTTGTGTTTTGCTCAAGGACACACCCCAGTGACCACCCATCTAAACCCTGAGTCACCGACACTTTGAATGAACGAGAGGAAGAACGAGGAACAAAACGAAGAGCCAGAAAAAATTCCCTTCAATTACTTGGTTTTAGTAAAAAGTTTTTTTGCTTTTTTTTTTAGTAGAAGTAGAAGTTTTACGGCGCTCGCAACTGCATAAGGTCATATGAGCGCCGAAGATTAGAGGTGTTACAAGAGAGTAACAAACATAAAAAAGAAAAAGGGGAGATAAGGACGATATCTATATTTGATAGGAAAGAAGAAACAAACCACACCAGAGCACCTGCCAACCACCCACGTAAAAAGTTTACAACTTGTGCAACACAAATAGGAGATATAAGTGCCAAAGATTAGAGATGTAACCAGAGAGTAACACACACAACATGTACATCATTCCCTGTGACTTTCTTCAGGTTCCATATGGCCTTCCTCTTGATCTATTACCCTGTCAATTCCTATCCGACACTTTCTTTGTTATACTGCAATTTAATAATATAATCAAAGTAAACTGTTCAATATAATTCACCGCAAATGGGAAATGAGCATTAGAGTTACAGTTTTTTTTAAAAAGGATAAGAAAGGAAAGTGTTGGATTGGAATCCACAGGGTAAAAGATAAAGGGGAAGACCATATGGAACCTGAGGAAGAGGTTACAGAAATTGACGTACAGAAAATTCGGAAGACTTAGAATAAATAACATCAAGAGGCTAGCCCACGATACAGAAAGATCGAAAGTGTTTGTTGATGCCAAATATCCTAACGGATGGTGAGTAAGACAGTGACGGTGTGAATAGTGTGATGAATACTAAAGTAAAGAAGGCTGTTGGCTGTTTGTGTCATTTCTAAAAAAATCAAGAACAGACAGATAGAAGAAATTCATTCATACCAACTGCAGTGTGACGTTACTGAACACACAGTGCTACAAATGAAACTAAAAAAGAGAAAGAGAGAGAGAGAGAGAGAGAGAGAGAGAGAGAGAAAGAGAGAGAGAGACAGAGAGAGAGAGAGAGAGAAAGAAAGAGAAAGAGAGAGAGAGAGAGAGAGAGAGAGAGAAAGAGAGAGAGAGAGAAAGAGAGAGAGAGAGAGAGGGAGAGAGAGAAAGAGAGAGAGAGGGGGAGAGAGAGAGAGAGAGAGAGAGAGAGAGAGAGAGAGAC